AATAATAATAATAATCATTTCAGCATTAATTACCTTGGCCTAAGGCTTGTAATGAAGAACATACAGATACTATTTACTAGGCCTCTAATAACTAGCCCAAGGGGAATATCTTTTGTGTTATTTCCCCTTTGTCTAAGTTCCCCTTAACGTACAGGTAATAATAATAATAATTATTATTATTATTATTTTTGGGCATTACATGTAATTAACTTGGTCTAGCCTTGTAATCAAGAACCTGCCGATTACTATGCCTAATATTAATAACTAGCTCATTTTTACATTCATTTGGTGCTCTGTTATTTTGGCAGGTCTTATGACATCCAGTAATTTAGAGCTGCCTATTCTCAGCTCTTCTCTTAATTTGAAAATAACTATCATTCTGTTTCATTTGATCAGTGATGAAGAAAAACGTGCTTTTCCTTACTCTTTGTGCTTTTCCCAGAAAGCGTTTTTAGTAGGCCTGTAATTATGCAAAACCCAGGCCTAACTAAAAAATTAAAATTGTCATAGTATGTAACTCAAGTTAAAATAACACTTTTCATTATTCGTGCAGCTTAATCAAATATTATATGTCATTTTAAACGACCCATTTGTGTTAACATGGTAACATCGATGTATTTTTTTAAATTAGACAGCGACGTTCTCTCAGAAGTTGTTTTGTAGACGTTTATCTGTTGATGACCTTATGACCTCCTGAATTCTGCAATGAGATTTTCGGGTCGATTCAGCCGAGACGGCCCGAGTGGAGTTTCATGTAAATGTTTCGTACGGGGGAAAAAATCGCAACCCGCACATACCATGGAGGAAATAAACTCCTCCATGCATGTACATACACAACAGTGCAGGTGCGCACAAAAACTCCGACTCGTTAGTTTTTTTTAGTTTTGGGACGCATAAACGGGGCGACCGGGTTGACCATGTTTGACGATGTCTATTTTCTTTTCTTCCCGACCATCAAACGCTTTGGGTGAGTCCAGACGGTTGTATCCTCACTGTAGAATGTTTTAATCAATTATCATAAGGATCTAGCGCCGATTATCGATTATTTTATGCATATTTTTCTGATATAGAAATACTGAAGAGCCTATTAATTTATTAAAAAGAAATTGAAACCAGTGGCGTCACCAGGCTTCGAGGGGCCCGGGTTCGAAAGTACAGTTGGGGCTCTAAGCATATAAATTGGCCGACCAGGCTAACTAAGCAGGCCTGTCTATACAGTTAACATAAGTATTACTGGTACTCATTTTCTGAAGTCATCTTTACCGCAAACATAAAACTTAAACCCATCCCAGATTCTAAGTTTCAGTTTTGGGCCCCGAAAATAAACACTTCAATATGAGTATTTAAAAAAGTGAATTATTGTAAAATGTTTTTCTGGTCCAATCCATAAGTTATTGTGATGCATGCCAATCCATAATATAGTGGTCTAAAATTAAAATTTGAACCCACCAGAGAATTTTGTCCCGAGGCCCCTAAACCACTGGGCCCCGATTTCACTGAACCGCCTGTACTTCATGTTCTTTATATAATAGTACTGTATAGATAATCTAGAATTTTATATATGCATTGCTTTAATTATTAGATTTTTATAAGGGGGTGGTTCCCCTAAAGATCGGGGGCCCTGGTTCAATGAACCGCCTGAACCTGCGGTAGTTACGCCACTGATTGAAACCCGGTACGAAGAAATTCAACCGGCGTGGCACTTCAGGGCAGAATTATTATATTTGCGATTGTCTCCGTCACCCGAAGTCATGTCGCGAATCGACGGGAAATGCAGCCTGCGGCGATTACATTATTTTCTTGACTGCTCACTATCGTTGGAACCAACCCATAACTTTGTATCAGTTGTTATGCCCTGAGCATATGGGATGTTTCTATAAAATCATAATTGTGTGGCGTGTACCCATCGTGTAGGAATGGGCAGGAAAGGAGGAATATGATACATTTGGTGTAGAATTAAACTCGCATGGGACCACATTATCACCTCAATGTCGAGTGACGTGCGCGCCTTTGTATGCTAATGACTTCAGGTTTTGATAGACGAATATGATTGACAAATGAAACAAACTTTCAGACATGGTGAAGTGAAAATGTTATCTTTGAATAAACAGTTTACGATTTACACAACTGGCATAGCGATCGATATTTGTGGCAGTTTATTGCGAAAAAAAATTACAAGTTCTTCGCAACACACTGACAGACCAGTTTTAGGCCTACTTTAGCGGTGACTCAAGAAATTTGCCGAAAAAGGGGAAGAGGGGTCCGACATGTCCGACGATGGGTCCGAACGAAGGGGTCGACTAAAGACTCGGTCCGGGTCAGGAATTCCCTGGTATCGTTTATGCGGAGAATATTTATGGTGTGCTTTTAGACAATATTATATTATATTACAATATTAGTACCGGTAATTGGCAATCAAAATTTAGATAGGCAAATCATTATTGTTTCTATTTTTGTTCCGACACTCGCCGTGGCGTCGGCCGATGGGGAGGGGAAGGCTTGTGAGACGGTTTGTTGTGGCGTCGGACGACGTGTGACGAGGCCTGTGTGACGGGGCCTGTCTGCCCCCTCTCCTCTGCCGTCACCACTGCTACTAATAGGCCTACATAGTATGGCAGTACAGTAATCTAGCCCTTAACTAAATTATATACTGTAATTAAAGAGGCCCCTTAACTAATTGTAAACATGACAAAGTACGGTACGTACTATGCATAAACCACAGAATCGGGAGCTCCGGGTGAGGATAAATGCAACTCTATTTATAAACGTCACATTTTTAAATTCTCCTGGGCATTACGATTAAGATATTAAATTATATTAGGTCTCCGATACCATACTCTTTCAATTTAATTATTTTTAACATAAACTTTGATCAAATCAAGTATGAAGTTACTTGCTAACGGGCTCAGCCGAAGTTGTAACACCTCATTAAAGTCCGACATCTTAATTTACTAGCCCCTAGAAATGAAAGCAGCGTTGACCTGCTAGGTTTCCATGGTGAGGTCAATTCTCGATTGAAAGACATTTTACGACCAATTCAAGGAATTTTTTAGACAGAAAACAATGAATTCTCTTTGGCTTCGTTAATGATCAAGCGAAACAGGTGTCCATTGTTTTTATAAAATATTGAATTTAAGAAGATCAACTACCTTTAAGATAGTCCTACAACGAGTTCAAAACTATTAAAAAAAAACTTTCTGGTATATTCCGGTTTGTTAACATTATTATATAAACAAATTACAGTTTAAATATACAAACGAGTTATAAAACTGCTTGTTCACTTTCTGGTTTGGACAGGTATCGTAAAACAAACACCGACCAGAGGCGGATCTACGATTATTGAAACGAGGGAGGGCACCTGCTTCTCAGATTTTTTAATTTTTGTTAAAACAAATTTTTTTTTAAATGGCAGTGATGAAAAGGTTAACGATATTGTTCCTAGGCAACGAGCCACACCATCCCCACCACATGTCTTTCTATAAATTCGCCCTTAAGACATTTTGCAGCAAAGAAAAAAAAATGTGATTTGTAGAGTAGGCCTAATCTGACCTGCACATGAAAAATGCAAAGAATAGGCCTACAGTTATCTATTTACTAATTTTATCAAAAACATGATTGATTATTAGGCTATGTGTTGAAATTTGGCAACCTTACCAAAACGATAACGAATACAAATAGACCTACATTATTATGGTCATTCGTGCATAAAGCTTTGTCTACACTATCAAATTTTATGTGAAAAAAAAATGTGATGTGCCCATATATGGGCACGATGACGTTATATCACATTCATCAAATTGTGTCAAAAAGAGTTGAACATGTTCAACTCTTATTTTCCATCACATTTTACGTGACGCTTGTTTGATGAAATTTTATAGTGTAGACAAAGCTTTAAATATTCTTGACGATGTTGTACGAGCTGAATGCCATCCTTGTTTCATGCAAAAGGTATATGAATCGCCTACGGACAGATACAGGATAGGGCCTATGCTACTGTAGGGGAAGGGTTGTCTACAAATATGATGACGTAACCGTATTCATTATCGTTGCTTGCGAAACAGCGAAGTATAAACTTTGAAACCCGATAGCGGTAAAAACGAAGAAATTGACAAAATTGAAATGAGTAGGGTACAGGTCAGTGGCGGATTTAGGAGGTGGCATAAGGGGCGTACGCCCCCCCCCCCTATTTTTTGTAAAAAGTAATTTTTGTAAAGCTTACCAAAAAATCACCATGCACAATATTAAAGATCAATCAAATACCAACTTAAATTATTTATGACGCTATAGGTTTAAGGGGGATTTTCCACTTGTACCCCTACCAGGGACTCTTCCCTTTGACTTTTACTCAGTTCGCATATTCACGCCCCCCTCTTTCTTACCAGGCTGGATCCGCCCCTGCAGGTGTAGTAGGTATATATATATATAAAAAAGATTTCTTGAACTGAAAACAAAATATTGTCACGTGATGATACACAGGCCCCAGTATTAAATATAATGGTCAAATTTATTATCACTGATCGAAAGTAAACTTTGTGTTACAGAACCATTAAGAGGAACCACCGCGTGGTCGAAAGCTTGTGATTACTGTAAATAAATTTGTTAGTCTGAAAAGTGCTGTTTGTCCTTCATTTATTGTTATCATCTAGACTAACACGGCTACCCCATCTTCTACATCATGAGAACCATACGTGTAAATCACAAGACATGGACTCAGGAACGTGGCCTACTCACAGTAGGCTGCGTACACTTACCGATCGGGACAGGTATTTTCAGCATTAGATACAATTTTTTTCTTGTCAACTCCATTCGAATACGAGGTGGTTGCGACATTTGCGGCGTGTCCATTCTCTACATCATTACAGATAATCGTATTACGAGGAGTTACATCTTCCAACTGTATATTATTGGCAACGAACGATGGGTTATCCATGGTAGAAATTAGAAGTATGTTCTTAATCCAACGAATGGTAGTCCAATAGTGAGTAAACTTGTAACGTGGTGAATATAGGCATCGCAGGGTTTCCCTCGAGACAGCAATTTATTCGCGTAACCCGATATTGAAATATATTAGGTCTCCACTACGACTAGTTCAAAGTCAACTATGCCATTTCTCGACGGGAGACAAGTATCGGAAGTGACAACTCGATGCGATACGTCAACGCAGATTCCGTTCGATTTTGCGCAATGTACGTTACGCGCGCGAATAATAGTGTACTGTATTAGAGATTTCATAACGGAGCGGAGAATCTCGTATTGTACCTAAAAGGTTAGCGTTCATACACTCTGCAAAATCGAACAGATTTATGCGTTATCGGAAATCTATTAAACTTCATTGAAATGTAAGTAATTATACAATTGCCTATAAATACGGACAACAATTGATAAACGAATTAATATAATCCTGTATTTGTGTTTTGTGTGTCATTTGTCACTCAACCATTCTATTATCACTTATTAATTATTGTCTTATTTTGAACGAATGTGGAGGAATGTGACATTAGGATAAGTTACTACATTCATAACTCATTTAAAAAACCCATCAAAATGATTAACGATTAATGAGACAGGTCTATGCACGGCAGTCGGCAATCGCATACAAAAATAGGAAAGTAGAACAAAATAATATGTTTGTGAAGGAACGCAGTGACAGATTTAAAGAAGGGGACAGCACCCCCTTTGTTTGTTTGTTTGTTTTTTTTTTCAAAATTATAAAAAAAAAAAGGAATTTAAGTTTAAGAGTCCCAATTCCGGCCATCTCGTTCCATAATCATAAATGTTCTTATCTCTGCCTCAGCCATGGTGTGGCCGTCGGCTGAGGTGGTGTAGAGCACTCAAATGTAAAATTTCCGCCCTGTGTGTGCCCCAACTCCCCTCTATTTCGAATTCCTGAATCCGCCATTGGTACCGGTATGTTGTTCATTTGTAAAGTACGTTGTAATAAACGTTGTCCGTGTCACTTTCGTATTTGTGTGGTCTACAAACTGTAAATCTAAATACGTAAGTATAATATTGCACTTTCTTTAAACCTAAAGAATAGCTAAAGTTTAGAGGCACTTCGTAGGTTACCTAAATTATTAACTTTGTTAAGAAAAAAGAATGCTATCAAGCAGGCCGTCACCAATAAATAAAGGTTGATGGGGCGAAAAACACAACACAAAGCACACTCAAAACACACAAAGAAAGATAACAAGGTCTGATGAGACTGAAGTCCATCAAGACTTGTGCCTACTGGCGGCACAATACACAAAACTTAATAATGTAAGGCGATTGTTAAATTACCTTGTTTATACCTATCGTATGATGTATATGGGTTAATACAATAAACAACTGAAAATAGCGTCTTACTCAATATTATATAGGAAACTAAATTATTACAGTTCGCCCTCCAATATAAGACCACTATTGGGACCTGAAAACCCAGGGTGGCCTCGGGGTTCGGTGTCCAATTAGCCTTGATGGTTAATTGGTGTTAACAGACTGAAGTTATTTGGTTTTTTGAAAGTAGTCTCGATTTAAAGGGGTCTGAAATTCGAGGGTGCACACTGCAAATACTAAAAACAAAAAAAAGGCCACGTCTTTATAGGAAAATTAATTATTTTTTTATTAAAAATTAACCGAATATAATTACATAGCGCCTATAAAACATAGCATTTAATAAACTAATTATTATAGAGTAATTAACTTTATTTTTGTTTTGTATATCAAAATGAATCGACAGAAAAGCGAGTTAAAGAAAAACTAACCTGTCTGGAGGCGTACGTCCGAAGTCTATACTCTCCAGCCGGTGTTTCTTTATATCTGAAACGGTCTCGCCATTCTCAACTCGCACCTCCATCTCCACACCAGTTGGCACAGCAGAGTACCCGTTCCTAGACCCCCTTCCGTTCGATTTCTCTGTGTTCGTCATCTCATTCAGTGCCGAGTATCCGTTGTGGTCTGTCTTCCACATTGCATCATCATTGTAGGTGCGTTCAGCCTCTTGGGCTTTGAGTGACATGTTTGACCCATGGGGCTGACCACACTCATCGGGACCCATTTTGTTGTCTCTGGACGGTTACTGATTAGATGTCTGTTATTTCCCCCTCTTCTCCAAATTTTGTTAGGGCCAACCTTCTACACCAGCTGTCTGTCTCGACCTGTGGATCAACAGAAATTGAGTAATAATTACAATATGGACTGAATGGTTCGTGAAGTATTAGCTTTTTGATAGCACGTGATATGAAAACAAACTGACAGACAATGAGGTGACTTGTAGAGTTTATTGATAAAGATAAGATTGTTATCAAGAGATAATCCACGTCAAAATGTATAGATGGACCGACGCAAGCCGCAATAGCTTCGACAAACAAGAAAAAAACAAGGTCAAGAAAAGTGTACCATGGAGGTACTGTACATTCTGATTTTGACAAGCGGTTTAAATGGCTTATTTATTCAATTTTGTAGTCTATTAATATGTAGAAAATATTAAGTTTTTTCCCCTTACAAATTGCTGTCTCTTATACACATCTAGATGTGTATAAGAGACAGACTATATATAGTCCAACAGTTATGGCTTTTATGTAGCAAAAAAAGAAAAAAAAATTAAGATGTGTCCTACTTGGCACAAATTCTTCCGAAGTTTGTGATGTGATGTGCCCATTACATATGCATGATGATGTCATATTACACCCAAATATGGGCATATCGTATTTAATTGTCATATAAATTGTGTACAGAGCCTCTTGCACGTCTGTAAGCTTCGGGTGGTTGTATCATTTATAGCTTAAGCCATGCTACTAATTAACAAGTGAGCCTATAGCCTATATTGATTTCCTTTCAGTCTTCCAAATGTAATTCGGATAATGACTGATATTCAATCGCTTATATTTCCCGATATATGTATCCTACACATTCTAACAGGCTTTTCCTTTCATTACACAATTCTGGAAAGGCAAGTACAGTAATTTAAAACGTGTGAAAACGTTGTATGGCGACCACGATGGTCTAGTACAATTGCGTCAGTATACAGTAAGTGCCATACATCTCCATGTGGCTTTTAGTCCTGCCGGCTTTTAGGTCTGTTTTTTCGCCGTTCTCGTGTCTCCTTTTTAATACATTGGTTGTTTCAGAGGGCGCACCGCGACTTTAAAATGAGTTGTAGAAGTAGAAGACTTCCAACTTCCAACTTTGGTTAACGATAAGTTACCACATAGGGGGCGCTACTTCATTTTAGTAAAGTGAGTGGGTAGAAATTTTTTCACACGGAGCATACCGTACTGAAATTATTATCATTAAAGATATGCTGTCTAAAAAGAATAGAAACATTCAAATAAATTTAATAAGAAAAAAATTAACATACATGACTTTAAAAGTTACCTTTCCTGTATTCTGTTGCATAGACCATTGACCATAATCTGGTATCAATTTAAGGATATTCGTATGTTTGTAGTAAAACGTCTGTAAATCAACGAAACCTATTTTTTTTTTAATCTGTTTCTGGATATGAAATTAACTCTATTTGCCACAAGGTTTTCTCGATTTTTTTGGCAGACAGGTCACCTTAACTATTCTGGTATATTTTATTCAATCATCATTGCATAACAAAATGAATAGGAATGATTATTTACAAAAAATAAAAACAACAAATATTGTATTCATGGGATAATTTTTACACAGTAAACAAGAACGTGCTATCATCTTATTTCATATTCAAATTGTGCCATAATCTGTATAATATAAAAAGCATGTATTTAACTAATCTGTATTATATTACCTGTCTTTACCGAGAAGCAAATCTCCATTTTTTGTACAATAACGATATTTTGGTTGATTTGATTTTACTCTTATGCACGATGACATGGTGACGAATACAGTAACAGCCAATGCAATTCATACGTATAAGGCCTACATTCTTTAGTTTAAATCTAGCCAGGACATTTCATAGTTCCATTGCCGACATTTACGTAGCTTCTACTTGGCGCAGCTCCATAGTATGTAGGCTCACACTTGCATAATTATTACTATATATTTAGGAGGTACCTTTTGACACACTGAAATATATTCAAAGAACGTATCGTGACAATCCACCAAACATACTACAGCGGCACTAAAACAATAAAACTAGGTTATACAATAAGACAAAAATATACAACTACTGTAAGTTATACAATATTAAAACCAAAAAAATACTGTGTAGCCATGCATGCATATGAAAAAATACTGGTACCGTACTAATACAATTGAATGCCATCAGGTTAATTTAGTGATTTTATTACGTTTTTTTTTTTTACGTGAGCTGTAGTTTATACACACGACCTTGAATTAAAAAGTATTGGGTTCAACCATTATAGCATGTTCTGATGTATGGTTATATTATACGTTTATTGTATAAAAACAGGTCGAGATGACGAATATCGGTTCAAAATAACAACCTACAGTGGCGGATCCAAGAATTCGAAATAGAGGGAGGAATAGAGGGTCTAGGCCAGCCCCACCATGGTTGGGGTGAGGTAACACAATTTATGATTATGGCACGAAAATGGTACTCTTAAATTTGAATATAATTTTCTTTTTCTCTTCACCTTTTTTTATAATTGAAAAAAAAAATGTGTGGGTGCCCGGATCGACTGCCCTTCTTCCCCCTCCCCCCTCCTCCACCCCTTTGAATCCGCCACTGACCTAACATTGTTCAACCAGCTGTTGCCTTACTGCTTATTACAGGAAAATAACACACGAATACCGTTAATACAATAGGCCTATTTCCAGTAATATGGTGGTGATGATGATGATGATGATTAGGTTGTCTAATAGGCCTGGGATAATAAAGATAATTTTTAAAATGATATACTGTAAATAAGACCATAATGGTGATTAGATGATGATGTCAATAATGATAGTGAGACAAGGCGAGAATAACGAAGGCGATGCTGCAATGAACATGATATGTAATCAGTACTATTAATTATTGATTACAACAGCTGCTAAATACACAACAGTTACGACATACATCAAACCCTAAGCAAAACCAAACCAGGTTTAGTTTACAAAGTACGGTATCATTCTGATTTCATTTCTGTCTAGGCCCGTTAACAATAAGCCTACGCGTAGTATCAACTGCGCATGCCCGTATCTAAAGTTAATTGACATAAGCTTATGTCGTGTGTGTTTCTGTCGACTGACCTTGACATGAACAGTTCAAACTACAAATTGGATATTGCCCAAATATCTCGGAAAAAAATAATGTTTAATAATATACTTTATATGTTCTATATTCTCTACCGTGTGGACAACAGCTAGAGATGAAATTTTACAGGCGTCTTAAAAGTGCTGCTGTCATTTCTTTTATAATAAACTTAAGTAGGCCTATGTTTACTTTAACCAGCTTTAACAGTACAAACGAAAACACAATTAAAGCCACCGTATTGTATGCAATGGCCAATGCTGTATCCGGGGTCGTGATTGCTGTTATTGGTGCAGATGCTCAGAAATGTATGCGTTGGCCTAAATCAGTAGATTTTGATACTGTATTTACCAGCAATAATCAGATCTCCCTGTGTTGTCGCTCTGAGTACAGTAAAGATAAATAATGGTACTGGGTGGAAGAATTTATGCTCCGCTTTGTGAGCGTGAGAGAATGGAAAAGGTAGAGAATGGAAAAGGGGGACAATGTCAATTGAACAGAAAAGATCCTTAGGTGGGGTTGATTGCTTGCAGAACAATCGTCTTAAAATCACCGCAAGAGGAAACATGGGTAATCAGTTCTTTCATCGTGTGAATTCGTTGTTTGTATATTCTCTTTTCTTCAATTTCCCATGCATCACTCAAAACAAGAAGATCGCTTCCTGATGTTTCAACATACGCAATGAACGCAAGCAATAGGGTGTGATTGAAGTCAAGCTCTGTCACAATCCAATAACAACACATTTTCAACACATTTCAGTATCGGTGTAGGATCCGATAAAAAGATTGATTTTAAGGCAGATATTTCAATACACTGGTTCAGATCAGACGTATAATGTCGGGGGTCACCTAGATTAATAAGCTTTAAATAATAATATAGGCCATATAAGGCAATCCAGTGGACGCATTCACATTTACAGTATGTTGTTAATCAGAACAAAGTCGGAAATACACGCATATCAAACAAATACACGTGTTTCTCAAACGCACGGTTTTACGTATATTGTATTTATGCTAATGTTTTGTAGGGCCTTAGCAAGAATATCCAAGGGGCAGGGCTTAGCTAAAAGGTCAAAGGTATAGATTAGAACAAAATCTGAATGGAATGGAAAGTGAATGGTTCATTTAAATACAATGGTGTCATTTAGGTTTTTAACCACCCACTGGACTATCTCAGAATTCAAAGTTAACCGAGTAAAAGTAGCCTAGTAAACACCTTTATCTGGATGTAATCGAATGGTTCACATCGGACTGACATATCCAGTTATCTGGAATACAGCACATTCATCCAGTTAAACCGGATTAAGTTAGATAGGAACCTGGTTTTTAAGTTTAACTACGGCAATTTAATACGCAACAATAACAGGCTAGGTAATGGAGTTATATAGGCCTATACAATTTAGGCCTATACGTTCTGAATCAGAATGAGGGGTTTTTAATAGCGAAAACTAGGGCAAGGAGAGTATTTCACTCATGGTAACTAAATACAAGGCTATTAAATAAAGTATTGAATGTGAAATGGCATTTAAAAATGCCAGCATGACCGTTCACGTTCATAAAAAAATTATTTGTAGGGGAATCTCTGTGGGGAGGACCAAAGTGACATAAGAAGAATGTTAAGATTGGGTTAAAACAACAACACATTTAATCCGAATTCGGCGCGTACTTAACCAATATAAACGCCTGCTGTTAGGGTCAAACACCCAACATGAGAATGGTGTGTTTGGGTCTTGAGTGAGCGACCGGGGAAATAGGCACAGCAGTCCGATTGATAGTGGCGACTCGCTCGACGATGGCGGGATGTCCGCAATGCCAAACCTAGTTCCACTTATTCCAACAATATTAATAATATTACAACTATGTTTATAATATACGTCTACTATTTATTAACTTTCGGATAATTGAAATATTGATGAAATTTTAATCCTATTTTCTTGGCCATTAGTGAAACATTTCTGTCTAACTGAAAACTCGATTA